CACTTTATACCCCCCTCCCCCCCCCTTGACAGCCAACTCGCAAAACAAGAAATGAGCCTGGATTTGGGGTCCTCTGGGAGAGTGCAGAAAACCAAAAAAAACAATTTTTTTTTCTTTTTTTTTTTGCACGCCCGGGTACCCCGGGCATCATGCGGGGGTGCCCGGCCGGGCGTGAGAATCTTCCTAGAAAAAAAGCCGAAACCAGTTGAGCAGTTAAGGCCGCAAACAAGTGGTCGGGCGTGAGAATCTTCCTAGAAAAAAAGCCGAAACCAGTTGAGCAGTTAAGGCCGCAAACAAGTGGTCATTCGCTTGGCCAATTACGCAGAAATGACCAATCATCTTTTTAACCGCACATACGTGTACTCTGTGCTACCCAGATAAAAAATATATATTATTTCATAATAAATTAATAATAAGCTCATAATCAACAAAAAACACTCAAGTCTCTAACTCCAGGTCGGGCCCAGCCGTCAAATCGGGCACCAATGAACCATCCAAAAATAAATAAATAAATAAATAAATAAATAAAAAGTTTGGGAACCATCCATACCTGTGACGAGGAATCGGAAGCGTGAGGTGTGTTAATAGCCCCTCCTCGAAGGTGGGAGAGACACTTCACCACGTTCACATTGCCGCCCAGCAGCTCCAATTTTCGCTTGATGAAGTAGAGAGAACTGGGCACAAAGCCTTGGCGGCGTACGCGGGGCACTCGCACTTTATTCTTGTTATAATAACCATGCTCGTAATGTCGTTGTTCATCGTGCAAGCTACTCCCAGGAAGAGCAACCACCTTTGAGACCAGTTCCCATCGGTCTTTGGTACTCGGACGTCGCATGTCCCATTTGTTTTGGGTCCTTGGAACTGCCATGTGGCTCTGTCGCACTGCAAGGCAAGCATAATGAGAAGTGGGGCCTCAAGTAGTTCGTACAATGGTTTGTTTGTTTTTTTTCACCTTAGTACGAGTTTGTTAACTGAAAGGAGTATAAACATGTCTACCACTTTCCATAATAACCTTTTTTTTTTTTATAACTCCGCTGTATTGTTCTCTCAAATGATTTTCTGCCTTTCACTACCTAACTACCACTCCTACGGCTATATATAGAGTGGTTGGGTATAGCAGGATTTAGGGGGGGGGAGGGGAGAAGAAGCCTTTCTGCTGCATTCAGCACCACCACGCGATGTCCTTTCCATGGGTGCAGGAGGCGGACAATGGCAACTCTGATTGCAATAAATAAAGACTACCATCGAAGAACCAAAAAATAAAATGGGATCAAAGTTACCGGCGTTCGGTTCGGACCGAACCCCGGAACCCGAACGCCCAAATGCCCAAACGTTCGGGCCCCCCCAGCCAGAGGTTGGGCCCGAACTTTTTTTTTTTTTTTTTTTGTTGTTGTTGTTTTTTTTGCTTTTTTTTAATGTACTGAGGAGGGTTCCACGTAGGTCGTGACCAAGTCCCGACCAAGAGGAGTCATGCATGGGCCTACTTTCTGCCTCTACCAAACTGGAAAAACGAATTCCAACTCAGAGAGCACCTACTAACTACAGCCGTTCAGAGATAAAAAAAAAGACAAAGCACCGTAGAAAGATAGGGCGCTCAAAGCAAGATAGATACTATATCTCTCAGTCCATCAGGTGAGAAACAGGTGCCTTTTTTCACCAATAGATGGAGCAGCATGACAGGTAAGCCCTCAATTCTGACGGTTCTCTTACCACCGTCAGGATAGAGGGATATCGCAAGGAAAAAAAAAAAAAAAAAAAAAAAAAAAAAAAAAAAAAAAAAAAAAAACAGTTTGCATACTCATGCACACAATCAAGACCACAGAGGAGTAGGAAAAGAAACCCAGAATTACCCCAACAGGACAAACAATACCATGCACTCACACATGGGCATCCCTTAGGTGCATGGCATTTACCTGAGTGGCCTGAGCTTCGAGATGAAGTAGAACTCACCCCCCTCTCATATGGTCCTCCTGACCCCTTTAACGCTTAGCCCTACACTAGTGTCCTATCTACTAGGAGGGTGTGAGGAAAACCCAGAATTACCCCAACAGGGCAAACAATACCATGCACTCAGACATGGGCATCCCGTAGGTGCACGGGACTTACCCGAGTGGCCTGAGCTTCGAGATGAAGTAGAACTCACCCCCCTCTCATATGGTCCTCCTGACCCCTTTAACGCTTGGCCCTACACTAGTGTCCTATC